AAAGTCAATTAAAAATTAATAATGAAATAAATGAGATCAAAAACACTCTGGAGGGAACCATGAGTAGAATAAGAGAGACAGAAGATAGGATAAGTGAGTTAGAAGATAAAATGGTGGAAATAAATGAAGCAGAGAGGAAAAAAGAAAAAAGAATCAAAAGAAATGAGGACAACCTCAGGGACCTCTGGGACAATGTGAAACGCCCCAACATTCGAATCATAGGAGTCCCAGAAGAAGAAGACAAAAAGAAAGGCCATGAGAAGATACTCGAGGAGATAATAGCTGAAAACTTCCCTAAAATGGGGAAGGAAATAGCCACCCAAGTCCAAGAAACCCAGAGAGTCCCAAACAGGATAAACCCAAGGCGAAACACCCCAAGACACATATTAATCAAATTAACAAAGATCAAACACAAAGAACAAATATTAAAAGCAGCAAGGGAGAAACAACAAATAACACACAAAGGGATTCCCATAAGGATAACAGCTGATCTATCAATAGAAACCCTCCAGGCCAGAAGGGAATGGCAGGACATACTTAGAGTAATGAAAGAGAATAACCTACAACCTAGATTACTCTACCCAGCAAGGATCTCATTCAGATATGAAGGAGAACTCAAAAGCTTTACAGACAAGCAAAAGCTGAGAGAATTCAGCACCACCAAACCAGCTCTTCAACAAATACTAAAGGATCTTCTCTAGACAGGAAACACAGAAAGGTGGTATAAACGTGAACCCCAAACAACAAAATAAATGGCAACAGGACCATACCTATCAATAATTACCTTAAATGTAAATGGGTTGAATGCCCCAACCAAAAGACAAAGGCTGGCTGAATGGATACAAAAGCAACACCCCTATATATGCTGTCTACAAGAGACCCACCTCAAAGCAAGGGACACATACAGACTAAAAGTGAAGGGCTGGAAAAAAATATTACATGCAAACGGAGACCAAAAGAAAGCAGGAGTCGCAATACTCATATCAGATAAAATAGACTTTCAAATAAAGACTGTGAAAAGAGACAAAGATGGACACTACATAATGATCAAAGCATCAATCCAAGAAGATATAACAAGTATAAATATATATGCACCCAACATAGGAGCACCGCAATATGTAAGGCAAACGCTAACGAGTATGAAAGAGGAAATTAGTAGTAACACAATAATAGTAGGAGACTTTAATACCCCACTCACAACTATGGATAGATCAACTAAACAGAAAATGAACAAGGAAGCACAAACTTTAAAGGACACAATGGACCAGCTAGACCTAATTGACATCTATAGGACGTTTCACCCCAAAACAATCAACTTCACCTTTTTCTCAAGTGCACACAGAACCTTCTCCAGAATAGATCACATCCTGGGCCATAAATCTAGTCTTGGTAAATTCAAAAAGACTGAAATCATTCCAGTCATCTTTTCTGACCACAGTGCAGTAAGATTAGATCTCAATTACAGGAAAAAAATTATTAAAAATTCAAACATATGGAGGCTAAACAACATGCTTCTGAATAACCAACAAATCATAGAAGAAATCAAAAAAGAAATCAAAATATGCATAGAAATGAATGAAAATGAAAACACAACAACCCAAAACCTATGGGACACTGTAAAAGCAGTGCTAAGGGGAAGATTCATAGCATTACAGGCCTACCTCAAGAAACAAGAAAAAAGTCAAATAACTAACCTAACTCTACACCTAAAGCAACTAGAGAAGGAAGAAATGAAGAACCCCAGGGTTAGTAGAAGGAAAGAAATCTTAAAAATTAGGGCAGAAATAAATGCAAAAGAAACTAAAGAGATCATAGCAAAAATTAACAAAGCTAAAAGCTGGTTTTTTGAAAAAATAAACAAAATTGACAAACCATTAGCAAGACTCATTAAGAAACAAAGGGAGAAGAACCAAATTAACAAAATTAGAAACGAAAATGGAGAGATCACAACAGACAACACTGAAATACAAAGGATCATAAGAGACTACTACCAGCAGCTCTATGCCAATAAAATGGACAACTTGGAAGAAATGGACAAGTTCTTAGAGAAGTATAACTTTCCAAAACTGAACCAGGAAGAAATAGAAGATCTTAACAAACCCATTACAAGCAAGGAAATCGAAACTGTAATCAGAAATCTTCCAGCAAACAAAAGCCCAGGACCAGACGGCTTCACAGCTGAATTCTACCAAAAATTTAGAGAAGAGCTAACACCTATCTTACTCAAACTCTTCCAGAAAATTGCAGAAGAAGGTAAACTTCCAAACTCATTCTATGAGGCCACCATCACCCTAATTCCAAAACCAGACAAAGATGCCACAAAAAAAGAAAACTACAGGCCAATATCACTGATGAACATAGATGCAAAAATCCTTAACAAAATTCTAGCAAACAGAATCCAACAACATATTAAAAAAATCATACATCATGACCAAGTGGGCTTTATCCCAGGAATGCAAGGATTCTTTAATATCCGCAAATCAATCAATGTAATACACCACATTAACAAATTGAAAGATAAAAACCATATGATTATCTCAATAGATGCAGAAAAAGCCTTTGATAAAATTCAACATCCATTTATGATTAAAACTCTCCAGAAAGCAGGAATAGAAGGAACATACCTCAACATAATAAAAGCTATATATGACAAGCCCACAGCAAGCATCACCCTTAATGGTGAAAAACTGAAAGCATTTCCCCTGAAATCAGGAACAAGACAAGGGTGCCCACTCTCACCACTACTATTCAACATAGTTTTGGAAGTGTTGGCCACAGCAATCAGGGCAGAAAAAGAAATAAAAGGAATCCAGATAGGAAAAGAAGTGAAACTCTCTCTGTTTGCAGATGACATGATCCTCTACATAGAAAATCCTAAAGACTCTACCAGAAAATTACTAGAGATAATCAACGAATACAGTAAAGTTGCAGGATATAAAATTAACACACAGAAATCTCTTGCATTCCTATACACTAACAATGAGAAAACAGAAAGAGAAATTAAGGAAACAATACCATTCACCATTGCAACAAAAAGAATAAAATACTTAGGAGTATATCTACCTAAAGAAACAAAAGACCTATACATAGAAAACTATAAAACACTGATGAAAGAAATCAAAGAGGACACAAACAGATGGAGAAATATACCGTGTTCATGGATTGGAAGAATCAATATTGTCAAAATGGCTATACTACCCAAAGCAATCTATAGATTCAATGCAATCCCTATCAAACTACCAACGGTATTTTTCACAGAACTAGAACGAACAATTTCACAATTTGTATGGAAATACAAAAAACCTCGAATAGCCAAAGTCATCCTGAGAAAGAAGAATGGAACTGAAGCAATCAATCTGCTTGACTTCAGACTATACTACAAAGCCACAGTCATCAAGACAGTATGGTACTGGCACAAAGACAGAAATATAGATCAATGGAACAGAATAGAAAGCCCAGAGATAAATCCACGAACCTATGGTCACCTTATCTTCGACAAAGGAGGCAAGGATATACAATGGAAAAAAGACAACCTCTTTAACAAGTGGTGCTGGGAAAACTGGTCAACCACCTGTAAAAGAATGAAACTAGAACACCTTCTAACACCATACACAAAAATAAACTCAAAATGGATTAAAGATATAAATGTAAGACCAGAAACTATAAAACTCCTAGAGGAGAACATAGGCAAAACACTCTCTGACATAAATCACAGCAGGATCCTCTATGACCCACATCCCAGAATTTTAGAAATAAAAGCAAAAATAAACAAATGGGACCTAATGAAACTTAAAAGCTTTTGCACAACAAAGGAAACTATAAGCAAGGTGAAAAGACAGCCCTCAGATTGGGAGAAAATAATAGCAAACGAAGCAACAGACAAAGGATTAATCTCAAAAATATACAAGCAACTCCTCCAGCTCAACTCCAGAAAAATAAATGACCCAATCAAAAAATGGGCCAAAGAACTGAACAGACATTTCTCCAAGGAAGACATACAGATGGCTAACAAACACATGAAAAGATGCTCAACATCACTCATTATCAGAGAAATGCAAATCAAAACCACAATGAGGTACCATTACACACCAGTCAGGATGGCTGCTATCCAAAAGTCTACAAGCAATAAATGCTGGAGAGGGTGTGGAGAAAAGGGAACCCTCTTACACTGTTGGTGGGAATGCAAATTAGTACAGCCACTATGGAAAACAGTGTGGAGATTTCTTAAAAAGCTGGAAATAGAACTGCCATATGACCCAGCAATCCCACTTCTGGGCATACACACCGAGGAAACCAGATCTGAAAGAGACACGTGCACCCCAATGTTCATCGCAGCACTGTTTATAATAGCCAGGACATGGAAGCAACCTAGATGCCCATCAGCAGACCAATGGATGAGGAAGCTGTGGTACATATACACCATGGAATATTACTCAGCCATTAAAAAGAATTCATTTGAATCAGTTCTAATGAGATGGATGAAACTGGAGCCCATTATACAGAGCAAAGTAAGCCAGAAAGATAAAGACCATTACAGTATACTAACACATATATATGGAATTTAGAAAGATGGTAACGATAACCCTATATGCAAAACAGAAAAAGAGACTCCGATGTATAGAACAGACTTGTGGACTCTGGGAGAAGGCGAGGGTGGGATGTTTCAAGAGAACAGCATCGAAACATGTATATTATCTAGGGTGAAACAGATCACCAGCCCAGGTTGGGTGCATGAGACAAGTGCTCGGGCCTGGTGCACTGGGAAGACCCAGAGGGATCAGTTGGAGAGGAGGGTGGGAGGGGGGACCGGGATGGGGGATATATGTAAATCCATGGCTAATTCATCTCAATGTATGACAAAAACCACTGCAATGATGTAAAGTAATTAGCCTCCAACTAATAAAAATAAATGAAAAAAATAAATAAATAAATAAAAAGTATACCTCAAAGTATAGTAAGGTAAAACTACTTTGTATTAATGAAATAACTGAACATCTTACCTTCGCTGCAACTTCAGCACTAATTTCTTCTTGAGTTTCTGCTAATCTTTTCTTAGCCACTTCTGTTCTTCGATCACAATCTGCAATGAATGACTGCAGATGATCCATAGCCTACAAAGTTTAATGAAGACGATTACTGTAAGAAAAATCAACTGTATCCATAAATATCTTTACTCAAAAACTGTACTTTATTATTTAAAATGTTATTATGGGAATAAAAAAAATAAAAGTGAGTTCAACTACAAATTGAAAACCACTATCATCATCTATCAAGTCTACAAAGAACAAACATAAAAATTCCCAGAAAATGTAAGGCTGTAAGGAAACTGCCACTCTCATACTTTGATAAAGGAATCATAAACCAGTGCAGCCTCAATAAAAAGGCAATATGGTAATCTTTATCAAAAGCCTTAACAATATGCCCTGATTTAATAACTTTTACTTCTAGAAATCCATTTTAAGAAAGTAATCAGAGGCATATGGAGAAATTAATATTCAAAGATGTCCTTCACAGTGTTAAATGGGGAAATATCCAGGTAACATGTAGAAATATAATCTTCAGTCATTTAAAAAAGGTGTTAGTAGAACACGTAAGGACCTAAGAAAATGTTCACGCTTCATTTGTAAATAAAGGTACAAAATGTTATACGCAGCAAGAGCCCAATTTTGTAAAATAAAAAAGCATTAGAAAAATAGATGAGTATACATTAAATATTAACAATTTCTGAATATATGGATAAATTTTAGTAATATGTTTTTCTGTGTCCTTCAAATTTTTCACAATGAAAATGTTACAATCAGGAACACTTGCTCTTTTCTCAAAGAATAAACCACTGAGAATTTTCTAAAAATCTACATCAGTATTTTTATAGATTTTATCAGGCACGTTAGTATGTCTATAAATAAATAACAGTTCATATAAAACTAAACTTTAAAGATGTATTCCCAACCCAACCAACTTAGACTTTCATATCTTACTGTGCAGAAATACAGCTAATTCAAAACTCCAATGTTTAAAAATATAAATTTATTAGACACATATAAAATTCTAAAAATGGTTATTTAACCCATGCATTTCATGAAAATGTAAAACCTTTTATCTGTGATGAAAAAGAAATAGTTATTTAACTCTAATCAACTTAAATTTTATCTTTAAAAAAAGATGGAACTAATCAATAAGTAGTGTTGGGTCAACTATGTCAACTATGGGTCAACCATGGGTCAACTTGGTCAACTATGGGTCAAGCAGCTATGTAGAAAGTGAGATCTATACCTCAATTCCTTGTAACAGAATAAATTTAATCACAGGTTCAAATACATAAAACAAAGCCATAAAAATACCAGGAGAAATCATGAAACAGAATTCTTATCACAGCAGGACAGGGAAGGCCTTTTGACTTAATTTAACAGATTTTTTAACAATTAATAAACTACACAAATATTTTGCATAACTCACAACTCCCAAAAAAGAAATAGGAAAAAACCACAACATATTATCTGAGACAAGGGACTAATTTTCATCATATATATAAGGTGCTATTTAGTACAAATCAAGTAGAAAAATACTAACATCCAGGACTTTCCTGGTGGTCTGGTGGCTAAGACTCCCTGCTTCTACTACAGGGGTTGTGAGTTTGATCCCTGGTTGGGGAGCTAAGATCCCATATGCCACATGGCAAAAATTAAAAAAAAACAAAACAAAAAAACCCACTAACATCCAAGGTTAGTAAATAGCACCCCCCGACACACACACAAAATGTACACTGAAAGTTCACTGAAAAGGACATATAAATAGATCCTAAATACATGAGAAAATTTCAAACTTACTTATAATAAGAAATGCAAATTAAAGTAGATACCTGACATATAAACACAATGCATTCTTACTTACCATAACAGAAAAAGACTGAAAACCCCACACCCTTTCATCTAGATGTTGGTGAATTTCTGCAGTATTTTATGCCCAGTGTACGTTAAATCATAACAAATTCACTTAAAGCATTTCCCCAACTGCTCCAGCCCCATATTAAAATTATGTTTACATAGATGACTTCATTTCCATTAGCAGAAATTCTTGGAAGTTCAGAGAAGTAAATGGGGTGGGGGTGGGGTGGTGGCTATTTACTACTTTTCTCCCAAACCAAATAAACCATCTGTTACCTCACTGATAAAATATACCATAAGAAAAAAAAAAAAAAAAAAAAATATATATATATATATATACCATAAGGTTTACAGTCATCAGTATGTTTTATGTAATGCTGATTGCTATGTCTTCTACTGTAAAAAAAAAAAAAACTCCCAACTACTCTCATGTTTATATAAAAAGAATAAAGAGTTTGAGCCTTTTAGATACCTATATAGCATCTTCTATTTCCTCTAATATTTCTTCTCTTACACACATTAAAAAAAAAACCAGTCCTTAATATCTTCCCTCTCTTTATATGTATATTTATAGATACAAAAACAAGTATGAATATAAAAATTCAGTTAAGTATTAAAGGGTTTTATATACACTAGAAATTAGTTGTTTACACTTAAGATGGTATTTTCTTAATCACAAATACCTAATTGGGAAGAATATCCTTAATTTTCAAATCAATATATGAATTACACAACTTTCACACACTTTCATCTCATATTTTTCAAAATTATCATTAGTTAAGAAAGTACATAATCTTACTGAATTTAGTATTACCCTTCATGTGTGTGTTGTGTGTGTTAGTCGCTTGGTCGAGTGTCCGACTCATTGCAGACTTCCCTTAAACCACGCTTTGTATTAACCACAGAAAGATAATTTTGCTAAGAGGCTTATCCATTAAGAAATATCAATCTATATTCAAAATATTATACTGCAAAAGGTAATCTAACTTGTTAAAACGAAATGACATACATCAAGTTCAAAGAAAAAATCTTGTTCTTTGGATGCGATTTCATAATCTGCTCTTAAAGCCAGGTCATGGACTTTCAGACATTCTCCAAGATCCATTCTCTGGAGGAGGAAAAAAGACACATATTATTAAAACAGAAAATACTTTTTTCAAAAATTCATTAACAATCACAGTTCTCTTCAGAATAATTACTGAGTCATACAGATGCTTCTTTATTCACGGATTTTCAAATCATGCAAAATTTCACAGACAACTATAAAACTTGGTGCCCAAAAAACCCCACATGAATTCTATCTACCAACAGACGAGAATCATGATTACTTTTGTACTTAAGAACAAATAGAAAAGGAAAAGCCTGTCAGAAAATTAAAAAAGCTTCTCACTTCTACCTCAAAACATATTTCACTTGGTTGTTTAACACAAAAAAAGATAAATTTAAAATCAAACTAGCAGAATGTGTAAACCAAACTGCTGAATTATAGTCAGTACTCTATGAGTAACACTCTAATTTTCAAATAAAGATGGAGTCCTCAAACAACAGACTGGTAATCTTGATATGGATTCCAGACAAGACTCCAGATGAACTAGTAAAGAGGTAATTTATTAAAACCCATACCAATTTGACAAAGAATAAGTATCTAGCCCCACTAAGCTTAGCATATGCAGGAAAATAAATACCTACTCGGTATTTGCTTATACCAATAAGTATTTATCTCAATAAGGAATCTAGTAGAACCTTCTATGGGAACTCCAATTCGACCTTGTTTAGCTTTCCTGGTGGCTCAGCCGGTAAAGAATGTGCCTGCAATATGGGAGACCCAGGCTCAATCCCTGAGTTGGGAAGAGCCCCTGAGAAGAGAACGGCTATCCATTCCAGTATTCTTGACTAGAAAACTCCAGGGACAGAGGAGCCTGGAGGGCTACAGTCCACAGGGTCAGAGAGTTCAACAGGACTGGGAGCTAACCCTTTCACTTTTTCACCCAATTCGAAGCTTTCCTCACATGAGACAAAAATTTCTAAAAATCTGTTTCATTTTTACATGTATCTGGGCAACTGATATTTCATGAAATCCTTTTAGAAGCACATTGTGTAAAAAAAAAAAAATGGGCTTGCTGTAAAGATAATTAGATGTGATTAAAGGTGATCAGAGCACAGCAGATTTTCCCATTGGAGTTATGCTATCCCATCACTGGAATGTCACAGAATCTCTATTAAGGGTGTAAAAGGGAATACAGTAATTCAAAAAGCTAAATGTTCCTTTTGTATATATTACACAAACTATATATAAAGTAAAACTACAAAACAACATTGCAGCAGTAAAGTCATTCCTTCAACTGAGTACCCAACTTGCGCCAAGTACTATATTAGGTGCAAGGGACATAGCACTAAACGACAAAGATATAGTCTCCGACCTCACAGAGCTGACATTCTAGAAGAGGAGAAGCAAATAATAAACCATATTTGTATCTCTGAACAATGTTAAGTGATCTAGCAAAATAGTAACACTTCTATTTACTAGGGGAAGCTACTTGGGATAAGGTTGTCAGAGAAGTCCTTTCTGATGAGGCTACATTCCAACTGGATCTAAAAAGTGAGAGGAAGCAGACTAACCTTAGGGAAAGCTAAGAAAAGAGTCTTTCAGTTTTACAGATTTAGAAAGCAGATCTTTAAGAAAATATATACAAGTGTTACTCAAGAGGGAAGTTTCTAGTAGCAGGGAACAGGACTAACATATCTATAGCACACAGGTCTGGGTCTTACCTCTGTATATATTATCTAAAAATGACTCTGCCTATTTAACATTTTTGCAACCACCTGGACACATAGAAGGATATGATCAACAATTCTGTGCAATATCCCAAGCTAAAAAGGATAGTGAATTCACTGGATTAAGATTAAAAAATACTGATATATCAGATTAAATTTAATATAAAGAAATAAGTACAAAGTTCTAAAGGACTTCCCTGGTAGCTCAGATGGTAAAGAATCTGAGTGCAATGCAGAAGACCCAGGTTCAACTCCTGGGTCAGGAAAATCCCCTGGAGAAGGAAATAGCAACCCCCTCCAGTATTCCTGCCTGGAGAATTCCATGGACAGAGAGGAGCCTGGCGGGCTACATACAATCCATGGGGTAACAAAGAGTGGGACATGACTAAGTGACTAATATTTTCACTTTCACAGTTACACCAAAAAATCAAATTTATAAATAACTAAGTATAAGCAAAAGATAAGACAAATTAAAAAACTTGCTAGTCAAGAGTAAGGGTTACAGGGTGGCATGACTGAGATCAATTTAAGTGACACAATAGTAATTTATAGGATATAATATGAGCAAGTGAGATCACTCTTACTGAAGGCTGTTTAAAAGCAAGTCCCTCTCTTCCAAAACACACATTCTGTGTGCTAACACATTTCAAAAGTGATAGGAATAAATCAGTGTCTCAAAACAAAGCAATGCAAAATAGCCAGAGAACAGATGTAACTAAACTGGAGAATTCAGATGTGAAAAGTCGACTGAACTTTTTAATATGAAACAGACGTAGATTGTACTATGGCCCCAAGGAACTCCAGAGTCAGACTTTGGTCCTCTTAACATAATACATTCTAATGCTTAAGAGTTTCCAAAAGATGGACAAGCTTTCTTCGAAGTTACTTGAGTTTCCAGGTAACCGAGAGATTCAAATACTGTTTAGACAACTACTTCAAAGAATTCGAACATCAGGTAACTGTTAGTCTTTTTTCCAACTCTGAGATTTTATGACTATCTTTAAAAAAAAAAAAAAAGGTTCTCAAAACTGTATTACCTTGGTTCTTAATTATGTAAAGGAACGAATGGGAAAATATAGACAATGTCCTCAAAGTTATCCTTTGGGAAATAAGGACTATTCACCACCATTATAAAAGTCATCACACTAATGGTTTAAAGCAGGCTGGAACCCAACCCCCAGGCTGGAAGCAGTCAAGGGCCTGTTAAGAACCAGGCCGCACATCAGGAGGTGAGCAGTGGGTGAGTGAGCCATGCGTCTTCTGTATTTACAGCTGCTCCCCATTGCTTGCATTACCACCTGAGCTCCACCTCCTGTCGGATCAGAGGTGGCATCAGATTCTCACAGGAGTGGGAACCGGCCTGTGAACTGCACATGCAAGGGATCTAGGTTGCTCCTTACAAGAATCACTCTGAAACCAATCTTTCACATTCAGTCCGTGGAAAAATTATCTTCCATGAAACTGGTCCCTGGTATCCAAAAGGTTGGGGACTACTAAAGTGTCATTGTGATGCTGAGGATGCTGAGATTTTTTCAGGCTCCAATGCTTACTCTCAACCATCAGTCCAGGGATTAACAAACTAAGGAGCTTTCCAGTGAAAAGAAACAGCAACTGAAACTTTCAAAAGATGTCTGGAAATTCAAAGCTGTTTATTAGGCAATGCTTATTAAAAAAAAAAAAAAACCAAAACTAGAAAAACACTTATTACTCTTTAAAAAAATTGCAGGAAAATAAGACAGGAATGAAAGAATGGCAAAAGAATGTTCTTACCCTCTGTTACACTAGCCTGTTGATTTAATAATATCTTAATATTACTCATCCCAACAATCCTACTTACATATATTTCCACAGCTATATAGTTGTTCATGCTATGCTTACTTCATCAAATGTTAAGATGTCAGAGTTGGAAATGCCTTCGATCCTGGGAGCAGTTCTTAATATGAACTTGGATTTAAATATTATCAGTGGAAGCTTCTGAAAATAGGCCCAAGCCCTAACCTCCAAAAACTGAATTGTAAAAGTCCCCCAGAAGTTTTTAATGTACAGTGTCGTGAACCACTAGCTGATCTAGTTTTATTCCCATTCCAAAGACAACGGAACTGAAGCACATAAAGACTGACATCTTCAGGGTACTTACTAGGAAATCTGGTTAGCAGATTTCTGGTCTAACACCTCTTCTGCTTTATTATGCTAATTCCAATTATTTCAGTACTAACTTATCTTTTAGTATTTTTAGTTGACAATCATCCCCCATAACATCTAAAAAAGCTCTGCATACAACAGATATTCAAAGCAGCTGTCTACTGCCTTTACTTCAGCAATCTCCCTTATTTTTATTTTGTGCATATTTAAAATCTGTTTTCAAAAACATGTTAATTGCCTCACTGAGCTTAACCTAAACATCGCTGTTCACCCATACTACCCTTTGGCAGGAATTCCAGGCTCCCCCTGCCCGCTTCTATCTTTAAATTCACATCACACAACCAATCAAAAGAAAAGCAACTGTGGATCAAGAACAAAATGAACACTAAAAAAAGATCCAATTATATCACTATAGCAAAGTTGGAATTTGGGTGAAAAGAGTACAGCTGGGGGGAATATATACCTTGTAGGGGATTTATGGAAGGGAAAATGTGAACTCCACAAGGCTAAAGAATTTTTTCTACTTTATCCACTACATACCTGGGTCTGTACATCAAAATGCTTAAAATATTTAACCTTTATTGAATGAGCAAAACTGGACAGAGAAGAACATGTGGCAAGGGTGGTCAAGATGCAGCCCAGGGCAAAACTGGTCTGAGCTCTAGAGAGGGAAGGTCTTCTTAACCTCTCCTTGAATTTTCTCCTTTTGGAGGCTCCCTTTCTTCTTAACTGTTTTGAGCTACTCTTTTCTGTTTTTCCCTATGCACTCCTCTCCTCCAGGAAGACGACTTACTTGGGTTTTTCACTACGGTGGGCTAAAAGCATCTGCAGCTTTAGTCTTGTCTAGCTCACCAAAGTAGATGTGGGGGCCAAAGCCACAGGAGCTCAAAGAGCCTAGTTATAATGATAACTCCCCCGAACCCCACAGCCCAACAGCCTCAGTGCTTATTTCTTCAGGGACCTATCAGGACAACATGTGTAGCAAGGCAGATTTTCAGAATTCTAGATACTAGTCATGTTTTTTCTTCAGTCTATAACATCATCACTAAGCACTTACACTGGCATCATGTTGAGCACATGAGTATTTAACAAGCCAAAATAAACTCAACAATTACCTGCCACTGTAAAGCTGAGTGAAGGGAAAGTATAGTAATGCTCTTCATGACCCTAGTAATGTAATTAAAAAGCCAC